ATTAACGCTGATTTTTGTTGTTTGACTTCTGAATCAGTAGTGATTATAGTTTCAAAAACTTTCTACTTTTCAAAATTTGAAAAAAAAAAAGAAAAAAAAAATTTTTTTTTTGGAAATTTTTTTAAATTCTTGGGAGGGGTTGAGATTTCCGATTAACAAAACCTGTTTCTAATAAGCAGAAAATTAAAATGTGAAAAGAATCAAAGGCATCAGAGTATGTCATAGTTGCGCTAACAGCTGCATTAAATCTAAAGCTATGATTTTCTATCATCTTTCCGCATGCCTTCCTAGTGCAATTGGAAGCATACTGACGCCTATTTGAGAGGTCCAGCGTTCGAGTTCCGACGAAGGCATTGCGCATTTTTCACATCTTCTGCTTCAAAATAACCCAATGACTCTACAAATGGCGCTCGATTTAAAAGGTGGTGGACGACGGTTTGTCACCACCAGGATTTGACAATTCGATCCCCTCCCCAGTTGCTCTTTAAAAGGCGGAGTATGTAAGGCATTTTCTCCCTCTTTTCAGCATGCTTTCATGGTTTAACTGAAAACCCACTCGACGCGTATTCGGGAGGTTCGGAGTTCGAATACCGGAGAGTGCAATGCACACTTTCCACCTCTTCAGTTTCAAAATTACATAATGACTCTACAAGATAAACAGAAACAACCAGAATAGTTTGTTTTAGATCTTTAAGGAATTGGACTTATAGGGATGAAAAGGCATGATTGCCTAAAAAAAGTAATATAAAAATAAACAACAACAAATAAATACGGTTCCAGGCTTCAGCTCAAAGATTAAAGACTTTAAAAACTTTTTTAAACATAAGCCAAAAATTTAGGGATAATAAATGATCTTCTACCAGTTACGTAACATCTGACGCTAGAAACATCTTTGATTAATTACAACAAAGCTGCAACTGTTCATCAAAGTTCTTAGCTGGATATTTATAAATTAATTGATATTAATTAGATATGTTACAAAAAAATTAAAGCAGATATTTAAATTGCTAAGAACTATGTTTGCTGTTCTTTATTCGCTCAGTCTGCTAGTCAGTAATAGCCTGATTAAATTTAAAAGATAAGTTAAAGACCTTATACTTTGTAGAACGGCAGCTCATTGAAAACAGGATACATGCAAGGTCAGGTGGAAGATAAATTAAAGGTTTTGTGTTCCGTTTGCCAAAATTTGCTCCTAGATTTCTTCCGTGTTCGTCTATCCATTTGGTCAATAAGATTTTAGAACTTCAGATAAAACAATATACATTTCGTAACAGATATAATGAGTCGTTCGAGCAGGAGAGGAATGTGTAGTCTGAGTAGTGATGACATCGTATGTAGACTCAAAGCACATAATTAACTTGAGCATGAAAATCTTTAATAATAAAGTAAAAAATCTTAGTTATTATCCTATGCGTTTATGCATCGAAGAAAAATTTAATATATAAAAGAAAGAGTCGTTCTTCTTACAGTTGTTCTCGCAAAGATTAAGTTGCTATTATCAGTTCCCAAGTTTTATCTCACTTCCTAAGCTTTTTCTGAAAGCTTAAAAGTTGTTTAAATAAGCTTAAAATTTGTTTAAATGCAGTTTAAGTAAGTCATTTAAGGATTAATAAAATACATTAGAGTTACTTAAAAAATTATTATAAAAATTTAGTATTTGGAATTTGAAATTAGTATGTAGAAATTTAATATTTAGAGCATATATTTGAATTACAGAATGTAACTAACAACAAATGCTTTATGGGTACCAGATCGAAAATAAATGAGAATTTGAAATTTTTTTTTTTCAGTATTATTGTTTATGCATGTTTCGTAAGTGAAATTTAAAAGTTGGTTACAGTTTTTAGCGCAAAGGGCCCAGAAGGGCTATTAATTTCGTTTTGGCATTTTGCGTCGATTCACTTTTCAAACTGTTGTCACCAAATATTACAGCCCCGTATTATATTTAAAGAAATTAAATAATAAGGAATCTGCATAAATGTATGTTTCTCGCATTATGATAAAACAACGATTCCTAGAGCCATCAAATTTTAATAACGTAATCCTCCACCAAATATGAGCACATGGAAGCCCTAATTTGGAATTTGTTTTATTATCAATTTCATATTTTGTCAGACATTGGAGAATTTTTTATTAACAAACTCAACGATTTCAAAGCAATGAATGGCAGCACTGTACGGGGGGGGGGAAATCTCCAGCGCGCGAGACTGTGTAATGGAAATTCTAAAGAAATGCTCATTTTAAAATTATTTTGTGTTATTGTACTGAATTTTATGGTTTAGATGCGAAGAACATGATATTTAATAAATAAAGGTAACACACAAAACGTTAAAATAACGCTGCCTAATATAAAATCTGAAAGCTTTCATTTTTTAAAGTTTCTTAATAAAATTTTTCTTAATTTTTTAAATTTTAAATTTCTTTTTAAATTTGTTAATAAAATTTTTCTATTAGTTAAACAAAATGTTCTGACTCATTAACTGTTTTCAGATCATTCACTGGACCCGCAAGAAATCTGAATTTAAGACTTTTTCTTTACATTTAATTTCCGGGAACTTATTCTTAAACTAATAAGCTTATCTCGAACTTTGGCCTAAGGCTATTTAGTTAAAACTTTTCAGTGTTAAACTGAAAGTATAGACTTCAAAGATCAAATTGATTTAAATCATTTTTTGTATCTTTTTATTTTTGGAATACTTTAATTTTTTTTTTAATTATTTTTAAAAATATTTAACGGTAATAGGTTTTAATCTGTATTCTGAAATTTTCAGACTGAAACGGGTTTTGAACCGCTTAGGGGATTTTTTTTATATTTAAACATTTAAAAACTCCTTTAGCTACTTATTTTGTTATTTACTGCTAAATTTGGTGTTAAACTCTTTTTTTTGAGGTGTGAGGCTGTAATTTTATGTTTTTCAATTGCAATTTTTTTTTCTCCTTAAGTTAATATTTTACCACACTGCGAAGCAATAAAATAAATGCCCGAATGAACACATGAATATTATTATTTGCCTCAACAGTATAACTGAAACGACATCTTATGTTGCGTGTGAGAAAGTTGAATCTGTTGGGGTAAAAATCCTATTGTTTATTCTTCTCGAATTGATTGATTCGGTACTCTTTTCCTCTTATGATCTACTTTTTGGAAAATACCATCAGCCAATAACGTTAGAAAAATATTTTTAGAAAAATTATGTCAAGGATTTTTGTTATTCTACTTAATACGTGAACATTTTATCCTGTTCACCTACATTTATAGAATGAGATCAAATATTTAGATTTTAGAATCTAATATTTTGTCAGAGTCAGGCTGTTTATAGAGTTGGGAAGGTGTCAGAATGAACAGAAGTTTCTTTTCTCAATTTCATAGATAATTTTACTTCTTTTGCTATTATGGTGCTTATTAGTTTTTGCAAAAACGTATTCAAGATCCCACTTCTCCCCCCTTTCTTTTTAAAGGAAGTTATTCTAAATTGCGAGAAATGCCTTTTTATCTCATATTTAATCGAAATTATTATCCTACTTTATTCGGTATTTGAGTGCTATAGAACTTCAAGCATACGGATTAACTGTGACTGCAGCCTCTCATAATATGTCAGAATGTCGTTTTCACATCTTTTAGATACCGATTTACTATAATTCAACGAAAAATAGGTTACGTTTTTAGTCATATTTTACTTCCACAAAGATTACACGATATAAATAAAATATTTTTATTTCCACAAAGTAAAATACAAAACACATCTCATTATTTGCAACTATTTACTTACAAACACGTGTATTTTTTTTATACACCGAAGAAAAATTTAATAAAAAAAATTAGTTGTTTCCTCTCATAGTTGTACTCACACAGACTAAGTTTTTACTATTAATTCTCAATTTTCATCTCACTTGGTAAGTTTTCTCTGAAAACTTAATAATTTTATTAAAGTTTTAATAATTTGTTTATTTTTGGTTTAAGTAAGTCATTTGGTGTTTTAAATTGTTTTCCATTTGAGATAAAATCCTGCCCGTCGCGCTATTACCAGTCGACGATGCATAAGAGTTTTCATTTATGTTCAATATTATAAAAATGTGCTTTCTGATATAGCATTAAATTAATCATTTAAAAAGTCACTTTATCTAGATATCTTAACAACAACGGGCTGCAAGAAGTGTTCTTTTGTGCCATAAGCATCGTAAATGTTCTTGTCGCTCCAAATGACCACAAAGTAAAATACAAAACACATTTCATTATGTGTTTTGACATTTGTATTCCTGACAAATGGACTCTTACGAATACATTTATCAGGAACAGCCAAAATCCATCAATTATTCAGCCGTCTCATCGCCAAATTCGTTGTCGAGGTTATACCATATAGAAAGACCGAATAATACTAGTGAGAAAGAAAAAACTACGTGTCAGTTTTGATAGAGACTACTCTGGGTGACGGATTCGATGGTCTCACTCCTCTTCCTCTACCAGCAACCTCTCCAGAAGACATTCGGCTCAAATGTATTTTAAGTACCCCCGAACCGCAAAGCATAATAAACTTACAAGCATCAATGCTTTCTCCGGTTTTCGAACCTGGGGACAACGCTATACCAGGTTCAGGTTCAAGTTCAGGTGGAAATGTAGTGGGACACCCAATGTTTACTATAAGTAATGTAGGTATAGTCCCACTACACTTCGGTTTATTTTTAAAGTAATATTCAAAATAGTACATAGTATAATATAACACATAATATAAAATAGTATAACAGTGTAAATAGTATATCGATATTTTGATTACTATATCTATTAGATATAATTATAGTAGATATAATAGGTATAATAATAGTAGGCTAACAGTCATAATTTATAACAGTTCATAATAGTTCCTTGAGATAAAGTTTATTATATGAATCTGTATCTTCTTCCTCTTATTATATGAATCTGTATCTTCTTCTTCTTTTTCCTTTTTTTACTATATCATTATTACTGCAAGGGTTTGTTTTTAAGATAATTAGATAATAAAAGTTTTAGATGAATTGCAGCTTCAAAAATGAATTTTGACATTAATTACATTAGTACAACGCATTACATTCATTACAACATTACATACATTACTATTCATTAACTATTACATACATTACTATTCATTACAACGCTATACCAGCCGGCTCCCATGCTGTCATTCCAAGAGATGGTTGGAGATCTCGCTGCCATAGCCTCGGACGCTATTCCCCCACCACCACCACCGGCCTATCATAAATAAAATAAATTTTTAATACTTTACAACAGGAAACTTTTACTTTTACTGGAAACAGTTACTTTCTACATGTAAAATAAAATACAGTGATGACGAAGTTTCGCTGTAATTTACATACAATCCGAAAGCCTCTTTTCATATTTCCTTCTTTCTTAGAGAGAAATTCAAGCATTAATGTAATTTTTTGATATTTTTAGTTTGTGTGTTTATACCCCTTAACATTCTAAAGAAAAATGTAGGGGGGGGGGAGACAGCTTTTTAAAAGTAAAATTCGTTTTAAATTGAGTTTTAGTGGTGTTCCATAATAAGTATTTAGTTTTATGGATTCGCTACAATCAGTATAACTTTTATTTGAAAGACGGAAATATTTACAGAGTTCTTTTATATTTAAAATATTTTTTAAATTTAAAGTTTTAAAAATTATTAAAAGTAAATCCTTTAGGCGTAAACTGTAACCTGAATATTTATTTATTTATTTTCGAATTCAGTAGCTCAAAAAGTTAAAGTATATTTCGAAAATAATTTAAAGCTGCATTAAATACCTTTTCCCTACTTTGATATAAAAGTTGTTTATTTTAATTCACATAATTTATGTGCCTGCCGAATTCACCCATACTAGCAGTCATTAATACTATGAGCCGCAGAGCAGACTTGTAGTTAAGTATTATGTGTTAGTACTATTTATTATTTATAATGTACGTGTATACAAAATAATTTCATTCGATAACAACGCGTTATAAAGAACCACGTGCATTTCTTGAATAAATAACGCTTTTATAACCCAATTCCTGTTTTAGTACATAGGTGGTCTGAAAAACAAGGGATTAGAGAAAGGAATAACAACAATAAAGTTTTTAATGCAAAATAATAAGGCCAACAAGATTAAGCCTAGAGCGAATTTTCAAGAACTACCAAGAATTCGAAACATGCGTAAACAAAGGCTCAGAATGTAGAATTCAGGACTAAACAGCTCGCTTGACAATTTGAAGCATTTTCTCATGTAGGAACTAGCAGCACAACATAGAATGATTTACTCTGTTTATTTTAAATTGCAGAATTTTTCACAATGCATGTTTTTACCTATTACGATCTTCAACATGTTACTGCGTATGTTTGCTGTTGCAGTAGGCCGTTCTATTTCCTATCCTGCCAGGGATGCGCATATGCAATGAATAGACGACCGACCATGACCTTGAGAACAAAGAGGTGAGCTCTGGAAGTTCCACATACCCTCTACCCTCCTTAGTAAACAGGCTCTAGGGTTTTTTAACTAGCGGAAGCTTTCGTTTAATGCAAACGTTCGCCAGAGGACGCTATTTCTGACAGACAAAGAAAAATAAATGAAACTAAACAAAACAAAGATATCCAGTTCGATATTTGGATTTTCTTTATGAATGAATGCATTTTGGAAATTTGGTGGAAAAAAATTTGTATTTTCTCCACCACGAAAGAGGTGCAGTGTTTTCTGTAAGATTTGTTGCCATTATCGTAAATTCAATTAAACTTGAACAATAAATTAGAGTAAATTCACGTCCTGACGAAAGATAATCCGTAGCAATAAACCGGACAAGAAGAATAAAACGAATCTAGAATCAGCCGTTAACAAAGTGTTGCCATTGTGCGAAATATAAGACCTTCAATTTCGTCTTTTATCCTCGCCTTTTCGTCTTTTATTTTCCTCGCGATTAATTTATCTCTTAAATTAAATCACTCTGCTGTCGAATAATAAACTGAGCAATTTAAATTCGATGAATGCTTTTCTTAGCAATTTAAATATTTATTTACATTTTAAAATAATGCATTAATTCGTATAAATTTAAATACTTTTGGTCTATAGTATATCCAGTTTATAAATTTCATGAACATTTGAGGCTTTATTGTGATTAATGAATGCTGTTTCACAGGCCATATTTTAAGTATTGTTTTAAAATTTTAAGTTTACTATTTTTAATTTTTCAATATTTAAACATTTTTTTAATGGCTCCTTTAAGCTATAATCTGTGGTTTTTAGATTGCAGCTTTCTTGTTTCACCTTATTTTAAAGCAAACTCTCCTCAGCTCTATAAAGTGTGACAGAGGAACCGAACCTCATATCAGCAAGAGCTAGCTGCAAATCAGAATTCAGAAAAAAGAAAGAATTGCAATTTTATTTCAACTAGATGCGTAAGTCATTTCGAAAGCAATAAAACAGTTTTCGAATAGAAATATGTAAATGTTTTAAGTATTTTAACAATAATAATGCATTTTGTAATTATTATAATTATTTAGTACGAATATCGTTGTTGTTCTTATGCTATATTTAGGAATATATGTTCATACTTCAAATTTGAAACTTTTAAATAAAAATAAAATAAAATAAAATAGCTATGTATTGGATACCTTCCTCAAACAGTAAAGAAATGTTTTTCTTCTGGTTTCTACTTTTCTCTGATTCTGACTGCTATTGTCAAATAATTCTAGCAGGCGCAAATTGAAAAGAATGAAAATATAGCAGTCTTTGCTTTGATGGAAAAAGCTCTTTATGAAGTGAAGAATAGCGCCGTAATTTTTAAAAATACAGAACTAGCGATTTTTCTTTACTCTAAAACAATTAACATGGAGATTGGCGATATGCAAAGAAATTTCAATTTGATACGAAAATTATTTAAAATAAGCTGCCAACTTAATAAGGAATTTTGCTTAAAAATATACTGTTTACTTTTCTGCACAACTTACTTGTAGTGTCTATTAGATTATTGTCGGAGCCAAGGAACATGAAAATTCATTTGTGCATTCTTTCTAATGGGTTTGGCCTCTTCTGTCATGGTAATAATCAATCACTAAAGTTTAGTACCAAATTATGATTAGAAAAACATTATTTGAGTCTTTCCAGAGTGATATTAATGATCAAATCTCAACGTATACATCTGGAATATCATATCAGTCACTATGAAATACAGGAATCCTGCACCTCCGAATACAGCAAAATTACAGCCCACTGTGCAAAAATTATACAGTCCCTTCCTACAAAGTGTTTCGACAGTTATACGCTCACACGAAGGATAAGGTGTGTATTTAATTATGGCAAAGCACACTAAGGGCTATCTGCCTAAGAGGAGGGATGCCTTCGTGGAGGACTTTCTAAGGGAAACTGGCTCGTATACATGTTACACATGGGGAAAACCACGAAAACACCCATGCAGCCAGCCCATTCGCGGGATTCGAACCTCGGACCGAATTACCAGTGTTCAGCGACTTTACCGCTCGGCCGCTGCACACGAAGGATAATTAAGTACTATTAGATACTATTAGACTGATAGGCAATGTTTTTTTTTTTTTTTTTTTTTTATTATGAACACTTTTTTCCCCCTTGTTCTGTCTAAAGCTCAGAATGCCTTTTCTTCTGTTTCTTTCAACTTGTATTCTTTGATAAATATATGAAATTCCATGAAGTCATTACTTCAGTTCTTGAGAGATGGGATGAAGTTGCTTGATAGTGCTGCAGTTCTTTTCGTTTTTGAAAGTGCTTTTTCCTCAGTTTATTTGTCATTGTTAGTTACATTTATATGCTCGTTATAAATTTATGATAACAGCATCGCTTTCGTTCAATTCCTGAAAATGTGAGTTCAATAATTTCTATAAAATTGCCGAATATTTTCCATCGAAGGCTAATTCATACCCAATAATTAATTTCATGAGTAACTGTGATCAGCAAAATCAGCTGTGAAGTGAGGCAATAAGTTCTTACAGTATGCAGCTCGTATATTCCTTGATGACGCGTGCTTATAATAGTCGAATATATTCGAATATGTATTTTATGAACTGAAGAACTCATCTGTACCTTACAATGGCCTATTGGAGAAGATCACTAAACATTATTAATTAATTCAAATACCTGGGAATGGATAGTCTACATGGATGCTTACATGTTTTCCCAATGTTCAACCTGAATAGGAGTCAGTTTTCCTTAGAAAATTCTCCCATCAAAGTACTCCTCTTGCTAGGCAGATAACTCTCGTGTTCTTTGCCATATTCAGCTAGGGGAAAAAAAGAAAAAGATAAAAGAATATTAGGAGTACGCAAATGAAGATAACCTGATAAATTTGAAACAGGATATTCCAATTAAATTCGAATAAAAAAAAAGTCTGAAAGTATTCAGATTTTAGATTACGCTCAAAGGGACTTTCGTCCCCGAAGAACCATCAGTTTGATTAATGATATGATATTTTTTTTCAATGCAAAAGTTTCTTACCAACAGTTATTTTTTACAAAGGTCTATTACAATGGTTTCTTATTGTGGTTGCTTGACTACCGTTTTATTGACAATGATTACTATTTTATTCTTCCATATAACGGGAAATAGTAACTATATGTACTAATATATAAATCCATTCTCGTGCTTTGATTGGAAAAGATTCCATCGATCGTGGAATATCCTATGGTAAGTAAAGTGTTTGGGATTCGTCCGCAACTCGAGATTCATGGCTTGAAATTTTTTGGCGAATTGCCTTCCTTCCGAAGATGAGAGAGGTTTGGAGGATGAGAGAGTGAGAAGGAGGAGAGAGAGAAGGATGAGAGGGGGGAGGAGGAGAGAGAGGACGAGGAGAGAGAGGACGAGGAGAGAGAGGAACAGGAGATAGAGGAGGATGAGAGAGCGAGGAGGATGAGAGAGAGGACGAGGAGAGAGAGAAGGCACAATTTTGAAAAGTGATATAAGGTTTTTTTGTGAATCGGACAAAAACGCCCGAACGAAACTAATAGTCCTTAGGGGACGAAAGCCCCTTTGGATTAAAAAACACCTTAACTGTGAAATTCGGTTGTAGAGTCATTAAGAACGCAAAAAAATATGCCCTGCTTTCTGCGGGATTCAAACTCCGGATTTCCTGAATACACGCCGAGAGTGCTTTCTGTTACACCACGAAGACATGCGGAAAGGAGGGGTAAAATACCTTATATACTTCTCCTTTTCAAGTGCGACTGGTGATGAAGAGGCCCAACGGCCAAATCCTGGTGGTGACTAGTTATCGTCCACCACCTTTCTAGTTCGACCGCCACTTATAGAATCTAGGATTTTTTGAAGCAGGAATTCGAAGAAATCCGCAGTGCTCTCATCGGGATTCGAACTGCGACTCCCGAATACGCATTGAACGTGCTTGCGGCTACTTCACGGAGGCATGCGGAAAGGATGGAGAAAAAAAACTTATGCGGTTATCATTGGTGTCTGAAATTTTCTTGGATTATGTTAAGTGAAAATTAACTCCTGTTAAATAAAAATAGTTTGCGAGTAATGTACAGTATTGATGAAAAACGTATTAAACGTAATAGCGTTCACAATAAATGCCCAAAAATTTAAATGTTTTCAACTCCTTCTAGATGAACTGATATTGTTTTCAGTTAGCGTTAAAATCCTGCTCAGTACAAATAAAGGATCGAAAACACGAGAGGCCTATTGTTTCCAAGGATAATGCATAGGATCGTTTTTTAACTTGAATGTAATGAAAGTATATTTTTCATCTGCGTAAGGAACTGAAACATTTAAAAAGTTATTTTATTCATCTTTGATACACGAAAAATCTGCTATGCTCTTACCGGGATTCTAAACATGTATTTCTCATTTGCCAATAGGATATGCTAACTGCTTACACCACGGATAGACCGCTAGGTGTTCATATATCTGCGAAGCTTTTTTATGATCACCTTGTATATACACGAATACGATAAAATTTCATGGCAATGATAAATGGCAGTTTTACAACGCAATTTCCAAGCAGGTGACATCATCCACCAATCTCTCTGTTTATCTCGACACGCATGAAGAGCCCAGAGGAAAGTAGACTTCTCGTTCAGAGTGCAGATACCGCCAGCTGCTATTATTTCCTCTTCTTACAATAACAATGTATGATAAGATCGCAGCCTTTCCTTTTATGTTTAAATAACTAAAACTTTCATTTTGTTTGTTGTTTAACCTTCAATCTGCGGCTTTGAAGAATTTTATCGCGTAGGCGAAAGATACCGTATTTCTTCCCGTAATTTCCTCATAGGTTTTTCAGAACATGATTTAGAAGCTTTTGATTTATTTAGATACTTTTCAACTCATTCCTTGAATTTAGGAAGTTTGTTCCTCGAAAGAATAAATGCCCATCAGTGGCTGAGTGGCTAAAACCCCTGAACACTGGTAGTTCGACACAAGCTAGTTGCATGGATGCTTTTGTGCATTTTTTTTCATTCGTTATATGAATACGAGTCAGCTTCCTTTTAGAAAGGTCTTGCATGAAAGCATTTATTCTTTTAGAGAGATAACGTTCGCGTACTTTATCGTATTCCATTGACTAACTTTACATAAATTACTATTTCTGGCATTTTTAATTTGTTCTTTACATCTTCTCCAAAGATAAAACCTTGGAAGATTTAATAAAGATGAAAAATACGATTTTTATGCTTTAGGAATGCACGTCATTCTGCATTGGAAAATGCAGAGTATTTGTAAAAATCGAATTTCACATTATTGTCTTCCTTCCTGCAGTCCACCATCACAAATTACTAATATAGGCGTTTAAAGATAGGAACAGCACTGAAGATAAGTATCGTTTTAAAATTTATTATTATGTTATTATGTGAGCTTTTTCTGATAACAGGTACACACCGGTAAGAAAAGTCTTCAGATCTGAAATATGTAACTTAAAAAAATCAATTTAACTTGTAGCAACATACAAGCAAAGAATCGATAATAATATTAGTTTTTCTAACTTCGATATTAAATTCTTTCTTTACCTTTTCTGTCATAAGTAGCGCGGATTACCTACTTTTTTCCTCTTAATTCTAAAATAGTCTAAAGGGAAAATGATGGAAAATTTCGCGAGTGAATACATTAAAAGCGTTATCAATAGTGATTTTATTTTCATTTTTACTTCAGCAGAAATTTGCATTTAGAAGCTCGTACGGGACATATTGCAACGTTAGTGACAATGTGCGTTAATTATGTTACCAATCCAAAAAGCAATTTTAATATTAGATTGTGACTTTGTATTTTAAATTGATCTTTGACGATTGTTACTGTAAAGTTACTCAAATGTCTAAAAATTACTGTATAATTTTGTTAATAGATAAATATATATTGATTAGCCTGTGAGCAGAGTTCAATTAAAATGTCTCGCCCGAGACTGAGCCTTGTGATGGGAATAAAATAGTGCATCAGATTTTATTCACTTCAGCACAGACTATTAGGCTGAACTCATATCCGATAACTGAAGGAAGGGGCAGAGACATTTCGGATGAAGCTCAGAACAGTTTTACACTGTTCTGAGCTGTAAAACTGTTCAGAACAGTGTTCAGTTTTACACTGTTTTGAATGGACATGGCTCACTTATGTAAACATCATTTTCGAAAACAATGCTATTTTTAAAATCTTTTGCAGAAAATGATTTCCAAAACGTCTTTTTTTAAATTTTTATTTTTACTTAAATCATATGAAAAATGCAATATACATATGTAATTACAGAATAAATATCTAAATTTTGTTTTGAAGTTAGATAATTTTTAGTCTTTCGAAAATTTTTCGGTACTTATTTTAAATTACGTTGCATGCATATTTATCATCCAAGCGGATTTTCGAATAATGGCATTACGCGAATACGAGTTTAATTTGCCTTCCATGGCAAATAGTGAATTCTCGCAATATTGCCATTCGGCAAAGTACAAGAACTTTAATTTATTTTTAAAATTTAAGCCCATTGTGGCTGAATGAATAAGACCACTGAATTTTGTTGGTTCTGCTCGGATGCGAATCCTGTGGATCAGGATCGGCTGCATGAATATTTTCTCCATCCGTAACGTAAATACCGTTCAATTTCGCTTCGAAAATCCGAACGAGAATCCTGCACTCCTTTTCTTAAGCAGATAGTCCTCATCTGCTTCGCTGTGTTCATATAAATAAACAAATAAATAAACTTTGAATTTTAATCAGTCTGCTTAACGAACACACAGATTTAAAAGAAATTAATTCATTTTTTTTATAATTTATCTTTATCTTAATTCAAGTTTTATCTTAGATTCTTAATAATATTTTTCTTTAATATATAAAGTATATTCAACTTTAATCTACCCATTTCCTAGCTTTTTATGAACATTTGTAGTATTATTGTAATTAACAGAAGATGTTAATAATGCCATGTATTACGTGCTCCGGTGTACAATTATTTGTGCAGCGAATTATTACTTTTAATTTGTCAAACCAATCACTTGAGGACGAAGTTGTGCATAAATATTTACCTGTATATATGTAAGATGAAAAAAATATTAAAGCATACTTCTGATTTTAATTGGCATTAGCCCCTTTTATTCTTCATTTTAATTTGGGTATTTCGCTTTCTGTCCTAAAATAGTAACTGCTTGTATTTATACAAACTGCGTCATTTCAAATTAATCCGTACGATACGATCTTACATTGCGCTGCAATGCAGGTACGTTTTAGCCAATTAAGGAATAAGATTTTAGTTGAAATCAAAACGTTTTGATCACTGTTAACCATCAACTTTAATAAATTTTTACATATAGATGCATTTTATGAATTTTAATTTTAATTTACATGTATTTTTTGAATTTTGGATTAAATTAAAAATTTTGCCTGTTTGATTATAATTTGATATTTTAAAATGATATAGATATTTAATAACCTGGAGAGGTGTATTGCGCCCTAGATAGATGGATATAGAAGAAGGAACTTGCAGACGTGGTTGAGTCCAATTATATCATTTTTATTCTTTGTTGACACACATGTTTCATTAAGTAAGTAATGTACACACGTAATATGGGTACACCACGTAATATGGGTACACCAAAATAATATGAGTGTTATAAAAAATTCCTTAAAAAAATTTCACATCGATACCGATAGGCTTGTGAAGTATATTTTTTGCAAGCAGTTACCAATTGCAATAACGAAGCAGAAAAACGAAAAGTGACGCATTCAGAAGAACGTGTGAAAGAAAACAGAAATCTTTAATCTGATTGGCTATAAGATATCCGCATTTCAGTATTAATGACGCTCTTTAGATTGATATATTATAAATAGTTACTATTTTTAGAACAGAAAGGGAAAGTACCCAAATTAAAATGGAAAATAAAACAGCTGTTGCAAAATTAAACTTAAAAGTTCGCTTTTATATTTTTTATCTTACGTACATTGTTTTGCACAGGCACTACACTATAATTCAATAAACTCAGGAACAATGGACTGTATTATATCTCACTTTAATTCTCATTAATTTACATAGTTCATGGCCACTCGAAGCCACGAATTCTCTCACACGCTCTTAGCTCACAATCTCATGTCACTAACTCCAAGAGCTCAAGACGCATGCGCCGACGCTAGTAATGAAATGCGCGCGCAGGCGCAACATACCGCCCGCCTTGACATGATGTAATCATTCAAAATTAGATCTTACAATAAAAAATTACACAGAGTGACAATACGAAATACAGGTAAATAATTGTAAATATCAAATAATAACATCAAAAAATCAAACTACTATAATAAGAAAATACAATAATTAATTACAAACATACTTTTTGTTTAATTTGGCATAGGTAAAAGACAAATTTTATTAATTGATCTTTTAAAAATGCCTCCTTTCGTTTTCACTGAAACTACTCTAACCTTATTGTCTTTACCTAAGAATATCTCTACGATTCTGCCAAGAGGCCAGTTACATACAGGAACATTATCAGTCTTTAAAATTACCATAGTTCCAACCTTGACATTGTCTTTTTCAAAGAACCATTTAGTTCTTCCTTGCATTGCACTCAAATAGTTATTTCTCCAATACTTCAAATTGTTTGTACTATTTTAGTCAATTTTTGCCAGCTTTTAATCTATTATTATATCGTTTACGTAACGTTTTTAAAATTAGGTTCTGGCAATAGCCGTGATAGGTCTGCCTATCAGGAAGTGGCCTGGTGTCAAGATATCAAAATCCTCTTGGTTCGGATGATAAAGGTTGCAAGGGCCTAGAATTCAAAATGCCTTCAATTTGAGCAATTACTGTAAGAAACTCCTCATAGGTTAGTTTCAAATTGCCTACTACGCGTTTCAAATGAAACTTAACAGATTTGACACCTGCCTCCCAAAGACCTCCATGATTGGGAGCTCTAGGGGGAAATGAACGACCAATCAATACTCTCACTCGATAAATAATTACCTAATTCATCATCTGGTTTGCTGACTAGCCTATTCAATTTCTTTAATTCTGCTTTACTACCAACAAAATTGGTTGCGTTATCTGATCTGAAATATGCGTGCACACTTGCCTCTCCTGCTGAAAAAACGCTTTAAGGTTGCAATAAATGCTTGACTAGACAGGTCTGTTACCAACTCAAGATGACAAGCTTTGGTAACAAAACAAACGAAAATGCACACATACACCTTGTTAAGGCGACCTTTTCTCTGATGTGGGTATTTTATAAAATAAGGACCAAAAAAAATCAACTCCAACACAAACACAATGAATGGAAAATTCGGGCTGACTTTTTCTTGAGGGAGTTGACCCATAAGTTTTTGACAGGGCACTGGTTTTGCTTTGAAACATACGACACACACTCATGTTGACTATTTTCTGGTTTAAAACTACAAGTGTTGCGCCCACTCATGTTTACTAAAATGTTCTGGCCAAGGGCAAAACCCTTGTCTAACAATAGACAGTAAGCCTTGTGGACCAATATGCATGTATTTCTTATTTTTTCTTTCATGAAACATCACAATAATTAGATTAGTCAACTTATGATTCTTTGGTAAGATTATAGGAAATTTTCTATCAAAATTCAACTTACAATTAGCTAATCTGGCCTCCAACTCTTAAAATTCCATATTGATCTAAAAATGGAAAAAAACACTTCTTACCTTGCTATCTGGAGGTACCTTACCCTCCTTTTCAAGGCTTGAGATTTCTTTTTTAAATTCACTATCTTGAATTAGCTTAATCAGCTTTAAGTTCAGCTAATTTTAATTCTGAGCTCTGAAGAGGACCTGAAACCTTGTCCTTCTCCTTGCAGTTGTTTACAAACCTAAAAATAAAACTTAAAACACGAATAATTTTAGTGTAATTGTTACTTAAATTTAAGAAATCCTCAATGAAAGGGTTAGCTTTCACATTAAGAAAAATATTAGAGTCACTAAGGATTTTAAGTTCGTCTGGAAAGTCCTTCACAATGACTTCCACCGGAATCTCTCTATTTGGGTAGTCGTCGTATCTCAGGAACAGAGGGCCTTTCCACCACATATCATTTTGTAGAAGTTTACTGGGATCCAAACCTCGGGATATAAGGTCACTCGGATTCTCCTTTGATGACACATGACGCCATTGATGACCATTAGTCACTCTTGAATTGTTGCCACTCGATTTGCAACAAATGTCTTCAACTGGTAAGGCTCCTTTTGTATCCATGAAAGCACGATCATGGAGTCCTCCACAGATAACGTGTCACGAATCTTAATGCAGAATTACTCCGTAGCTCTAATTTACTAACGTTTATTTTATTTTAAATCTTTACTATCACTTCTTATTTTCTACTTCCGGCCAGAATTATAAGCGTGAAGGTTTTTTATGCAAAGTTTGTCT